ATTGATAGAATTGTAATAAGAAGGAAACACACCAGAAAGAGCTCATATGTGGGTATGTTTTCATTTAGGACCTTTAAGATAGAGGACCTTTTACAGTGATTAGAAGAAACACAAGTTGGAAGTAAAGATTTTAGTTGGTCTGTGTGAGGAAACGAGAGAGAGGGAGAGAGAGAGAGAGAGAGAGAGAGAGAGAGAGAGAGAGAGAGAGAGAGAGAGGCGGCGGGGGTAGGGGGGAGGTGAGAGAGAGAGAGAGAGAGAGAGAGAGAGAGAGAGGCGGCGGGGGTAGGGGGGAGGTGGCAGGGAGGGACTCATTAACCAACCAACGCCTTTACTAGGGACCAGAGTATGACCCCAGCAGGTTTTCCATGGGGAGTTCTAATTGGTGAGTTGAAAGAAAGCAGGCACATGTTCCGGAAAGTCATGCTGTGACTGAGAGGTAGTCACGGCAGCATATCTGTGAAGTCCATGCAGGGCACAGAGGTCAGGGATGCTAGTCAAGTAAGTTTCATCTAGCTGTCCCATAAAGAGGTGGTCACTAGGAGGTAGTCGTATATGGCAGATATCTGGCTCAACTACGTTGAAAAATTAGGAGGTGTTATAGAACTAACAGAACTAGAAAGTGCGTTAAGGGTAACTAAGCCCTGTTTCTGGCATGAGAAAGCTAAACATATTCAAAATGGATGCTGAGGCATCATAAAATGATAAGAATTTACTACACTGTAAATATAAGTAAATATTGTTTTTATAAAGACAACAATTATGTTTTTGAGACATAGAATATGTGTAAATTGTTAAATCAAGTTTAGCCTAAGGCCTTACATAGTTTACGCTCAGCCTAAAGGTTTCTCTCTACACTGTGAACTATAACAAGTGAAGACATAAACAGACCATAGCCTACTCTTACGCCAATCACTGAGTTTTGGCCAGTCAAAAGTGGCCAATGGTTTGAACTGTCTCCAAATACGGCAAACGCTGAGCTATAACCAATCTGGCCATTTCTAACCTCACTTCTGTTTTTTGTACATCACTTTCCTTTCTCCGTTCATAAATCTTCTTCCATCACGCAGCTGGGCTGGAGTCTCTGAGCCTGCTCCAGCACGGGAGGCTGCCTGGTTTGTGAATCATTCATTGTTCGGTTAAACTCTTTTACATTTAATTCAGCTGAAGTTTTTCTTTTTACAAAATGTATGACAACAACAGGAAAAGACAGGAGGATGTAAATGGAATTAAATATTAATAGTTTGAATACTTGCATTGTTTGGAGAGTGGTAAAGGCACACTTTTAGTAGACGTTAGTAGATCAAGGATGTCTATCTCTAGAGTAGTAATTTAAAGAATAAAAATGGAATATAACTTAAAAGTTATTGGGGAAAAATAAAATAATACAAATACTTAATGAATTAAAAGTGTGAGAAATGAGGAATAAACACACAAAACAAATAAAAACATAACCAAGAGTTAGACTTATCAGTAACTATATCAGTAACTCTATTAAATGTATTTTTAAATTTTAATTTGTATTATTAAATTTAAATGTTCCAAACACACCAATGAACAACTAAGAAAGACTGAATGAAACAACAAAACATTACTATATGAGGTTTATAAGAGACAGCTTTAAATATAAGACAAAGAAGGGCTGAAAGTAAAAGATTTAAAACACACATAATATAAAAACAAGAAAGAAAGCTGATTAGCTATATTAATGTACAAAGTAGATTTTAAGGCAAGAAGTATGAGAGGTAAAAAGAGACATTTCATTATGACAAAATTGTCCATTCAGCAGAAAGATAGAATAAACCAAACATTTCATGCATTTAATAACACGTTTAAAATACATAAAGTAAAAATCCCTAGAACGAAGATGAAGACAGACAAATTCCTAGCTATAGTTGGGGATTGTAATGGGTTGAATAACCACTGTCCTCCTTAAAAAGTATCTGTGTCCTGCCCTCTGAAACCTGTGAACGTGACCCAATTTGGAGAGTCTTTGTAGATACAATCAAGTTAATGATCTTGAGCTGAGACCCTCCTGGATTGCCAGGGTGGCCTCTAAGTCCGTGTCCAGTGTCTTTATAGGAGACAGAAGAGCAAAGGAAACACACAGAGGAGAAGGCAATGAAGATGGAGGCAGAGAAGAAATGATGCATCTACAAGCCAGGGAACATCACAGACGGCAGCAGCCACTGGAAGGAAGCCCGGAGACAGGCACAGAACAGCTTCCAGATGGAACCAATCCTGTCGGCATCTTAACTGTGGGTTTCTGCCCTCCAAACTCTTAAGAGAGTAAGTTTCTCTTGTTTGAAGCCACCAAGTTTGTGGTCATTTGTTACAGCAGCTCTGAGAAACTAATACAGATATTTTACACATGCCTCTCGAATAACTGAGAGAACAAGTGAAAAAGACTGTTCTAAATCTGTACATTCTTTTTAAGTGCATACATAACATTTTACCAAAATCATCCATATTCTGAGCCATAAAACATCTCAAGAAGTTGTAAATGCTTACATTAATAGAATAATGATAACTAGAAGATCTCTAAATATTTAGAAATTAAGCAATGCTCTTCTAAATAGCCTATGGGTCGAAGACGATATCAAAAGAGGAAGGAAGGAAGGAGGGAGGGAGGGTGGGAAGAAAGGAAGGAAGGAGGGACGGAGGGAAGGAAAAAAGGAAGGAGGGAAGGAAGGGAGGGAAAAAAGAAAGGTTAGGAAGAAAGGAAGGGAGTTTAGGAAGGAAGAGAAGGAATGAAGGAAGGAAGGGAGGGAGGGAGGGAAAGAGGGAGGGAAAGAAAGATAAGAAAACGGAGTTAAATAAAATTATTATCTGGTGGTTTGGTACAGTGTCAGCCAGGCCAATTTAGAATTACGTTTTCCAGACTTAGTTTCTCTGTATGGTTCTGGACTAGGGTTACAGCATGAGAAACTAGTCTGATATTTGAGAGGCAAATGTCAAGTAATAGCCATTCCACTCTGAAGGTCATCCTTGGATAGAGTTGGTGAGGCACAGTGCAGGAGTGGAGGGTTCAGGGGATAGACCTTTTACCTGAGGCTTGAGAAATACATTGGGTTCACATGGGAAATTTCAGCATCCTCTGTGACAGCTCATTCTCTCTCTGTAGGCTGGGAATGATAGTGGGAAATGTTGCCATTGAACTGGGTTCTCTGAATTCTCTTGGGGATTGAAGGACCTCAGCGTGGCAGAATCCAAATGGCAGCACTTAATTGTTACAGACAATGGGGGTTCTCATAGTGGGTATTAGAGTTGAAACAGCAATCAGAATGATTTGACTGAAGAGAACTTTGTTACTGGCTAATTGATCATGGAGTCTCTAAAACCGAAGTAGATGGATAGCCGACTAAAGTGTTATTTGATTTGTATGAGTAGAAGAGATTTAGGTCAAGTGAATAGAATTCTGACTTGAATCATTGCAAAAGAAGTTCATTGTACATCAACAATTCCTAGACAGACTTGAATAGTCTATAGACTCAGAGCAGTATGAATGGATGGGAGACTGGATCCTTTTGAGGAAGCACCATGCTACACAGTCAAAAGCATATGTTGTAAATCCCCTAGCCTTCGCCAAGAAGACTTCAAGCCATTTACTAGCGTTTGGATATAGAGAGTTTACAGAACTATAAACAGAGATAAAAATACAGGTATAAGTATAGGTGTATTATTTTGTTTGTTTTCTCTATTTTACTGATAATATTTTGTTCATATTTCTAAGAAAATTCCTATTCCAATTCCATGTTATCTTTTTACAGATTATAAATAAGATGGAAAGTTTCTCGATTTGTTTTACAAAATACTGAAACTGTTTCTTAAACTGGATAAAAAGCAATAAATGTGTGACCAATGTCATTTATAAACTTAGATTCTGAAGCTCATAAACTTTCTAGTAAAAGTAACAACATTTTAAAATAACAAGAAGAAAAGAAAAGAAGTCCCCAAGTTATCCAAAGAGAACAGTAAGACAAAGATGTTATACACTGTATTTCTCTCAGCCTCAGCCTGGCCCTCCACTACATCGGTGTATAATTTTTTAATAAAATGAGATCTTGCCATGCATGCTGTTCATCTGACTTTTTTTCCACATAAAACATCTCTTTCTTATCATTAAGTGCTTCTTTATGCAATCTTTTTAAAATTATTATACTTTAAGTTCTGGTGTACATGTGCAGAATGTGCAGGGTTGTTACATAGGTATACATGTGCCATGGTGGTTTGCTGCATCCATCACCCCGTCATCTACATTAGGTATTTCTCCTAATGCTATTATTTTTTTATGGCTGAATAAGATGCCAGTGTATGGATATACTTTTTTTTATTCTGCAAAGCTATTTTATGTTTCTTAGGGAATTCTTTACAGTGGTCATTTGAACACATCTCTTTCTTTCTAGTAGATCATTTCCAAACCATAGGTTAAAATATTTAGGTTACTCTAACATTTTAACTAATATAAATAATGCTGCAATGAAAAGTTTACACCAAACTGCTTTAAGAAGTTTGTGTTTATTTCCTAAGTATCAATTCTAAGAAGCAGGTTAAAATACACGCCCACTTCTGAGGTTTGCAGTGTATGGTGCCTTTCAAGAGGACGTGTTGATCTCGTGGTACATGGGAGTCCAGGTTCTTCTGAAGCTTCACTAACCTTGAAGAATGTCAATTTTAAAAATCTTTACTGATTTGCCAAACAGTATGATTATTATACTGGAGGTGGCAGAACCAACATAATTTCAAATTTATTGAAGTAAAATTAAGTTTGAAGGCTTTTATGTACTTAAACCCCCAGAATTAGAAAAGACACATCCCAGGATAAGGAAGAACTTAAGGAAATAGTTACCAGGAACCCCACAGGAATATTCGAGAACTTTACAGCTGTCTTCAGCTATATGAAGGACAAATTGCACAGAAGGAATTCGATTAAGATTTTTATTATTCCAGAGAAAAATTAGAATGGATTGGTAAAAGAAATAGGAAGGGATATTTCAACTCACTGTCACAAATAGGTGCTTTATTATCCCAAATGACAGTATTGCCTGAGATGATGCATGTGGCAGATGAGGAACCAATGAGTCGGTACCTAGAGGCAAAGAATGAGGAATGTTAGGTTCTAAAGACACAGGTTAACTACCCACTTACATCACTACTTCTAGAAATTGCACTGTTACAGAATTCAGAGGAACATTCTCCACTTGTCAAAGGACTATCTATCACCTTCCCAAGTTTCACATTCTTCTCGGGACTTTTTGATTTTCTTTTCCATGTCTTCTCAGTTGGATGGGCTTTCTCTTCTTTATTACCTTATGACACATTTTTTAATGGAAATCTAAGATGAATTATAGTTTTTCCTATAAACTTCATTTTTTAAAAAGGTTCACAAACTTCTTGAGTGCAGGGAAGCTGTCATATATATACATGTATGTGTGTATATAGTCCTGTTGTATGTATTACTATGCCTTACAAGTATTAGTATATGGGTGCATGGATGGGCTTTTATCAGTAAGATGCATCAGAGTAGTCCATTCACAGTGGCTCATGCCTGTAATCCCAGCATTTTGGGAGTCTGAGGCAAGAGGATTGCTTGAGCTCAGGAGTTCGAGGCCAGCCTGAGCAATATAGTGAGACCCTGTCGCTACAAAAAATTTATTTAAAAAGCAAGGCATGGTGGCACATTTCTGTTGTCCTAGCTACTCAGGAGGCTGAGGCAGGAGGATTGCATGAGCCTGGGAGGCTGAGGCTACAGTGAGCATTGATCATGCCACTGCACTCCAGCCTCCAGGCTGGGCAAGAAAGCAAGACCTTGTCTCAAAAAATTAAGAAAGCATGAATAAATAAGGAACAAAAGAAAGAAAGAAAAAAGGAAAGAAAATGATTAATAACTAGAACCAGAGGAAATCCAAGCTGACCAAAGAGAATTGAACACTTATTTTATACTTGAAATGTTAAAGTCAGCAATTCTCAATTATTATGTGTCAAACTGTTCAAAGTGTGCCATGCATTTGGAAGAATTCATGACATTTGCTTTACTTCACCTGAGACTCTCTGTTGTGATGGATGGTTGGGTGTAACTGGCCACAGTGAGGGTTGGATCAAACTTGGTAGTACTACACATGGAGGAAGGAAGCAATGTCAAATAACAGTCATGGTTATAGGTAGAGCTGAGAACTTTGCTTTATGAATATGTAGGAAAACCTGGCCGCATAAAGCTTTATTCAAGCAACAAAACAGTGCCAGATGGAGATCAAATGAATAGCAAGAGAACAGTGGGTGTTTTTGAAGACACTTGACGCACTGTTAGAGTAGTGATTATGTTGTAATTATTAATGGCTTCGATATTATTTTGTGTTTTCTTTATTATTATGCTTTTGAGATGGACTTTTACTCTTGTCGCCCAGGCTGAAGTGCTATGGCATGATCACAGCTCACTTCAACCTTCACCTCCCAGATTCAAGAGATTCTCCTTTCTTAGCCTCTTGAGTAGCTGGGGCTACAGGCACCTGCCACCACACCCAGCTAATTTTTGCATTTTTAGTAGAGACAGGTTTCACCGTATTGACCAGGATGGTCTGGAACTGCTGACCTCAGGTGATCCACCCACCTCAGCCTCCAAAAGCGCTGGGATTACAGGCATGAGCCGTCACATCCCACCTGATTTTGCTTTCTAATGCCTTCTAGTATGACACCAAAAATGAAAGCATTCTCAGTTGCACTGCCAACAGACATACATACAAGCATGAAGGATGTGAACAAATGAAATGAAGAAGGGCTGCAATCCTATACGTGTACCCGCTTCTGCCTGTTTGTCTTAGGAGCAAGGCATCCTGGAACCTCCTCTGGTTTTTGACCTCACTGAGGTTATTTCCCAAAGTGATCTTTTTGATTTTCTAATCATGGGGGTTGGGACAGGAATGGTGAAGCAGGTTCAAACTGAAGTTGGCATCTTTTCCTCCATACTATTGTTCAGTGTTGCAGTACTGAACATATTAAATATGAGTCAAAAGGTAACTTCATGTTCACTGATAAAGGGAAACGGATAGAAGAATATTTTAATTTATTAAACTTGTCTCCTAAAGTAGATTACATAATTGGACAAATAATGATTTAAGCTCTTCTCATTCAGAATGTTTATGAGGAAGTAAGGCAGAGAGATAAAACCCATGATACTTATTTTAAAGGGAGCCAGGGACTTTCATATTCATTTGAACAGATTGAAGCCTTTACATCCTACCCTATCTTTTTCAATCTCCTGGGGAAAAGAGAGTTGTGGGTTCATAAAGTTAAGCCATAGTTCAGGAGAAGCCATGATCATTTCATCACCAGAAACCACATACGGCATATGGATAACTATGTCTAGACTTTTGAGAGTCTTCTCCCCAGGGCCCAGAATGGGACAGTGTTCCCCTCACCCCTGAAATATATAGACGTCTTAATCCCTAGTTCCTGTTAGTGTGAACTTATTTGGAAATATGGTCTTTGCAGAGGCAGTCAAGTTCAGATGAGGTTGTTAGTGTGGTCCCTAATCCAATCTGACTGATGTCCTTACTGAAAGAGAGAACTTGGGACACAGACACGCACAGACAGGCGAACAGCACGTGCAGACACAGACTCAGAGGGAAGACGGCCATGTGAGGACAGAGACAGGAATTGGAGTTCTGCTGCCACACGCCAAGGAAGGCCTGGGGCTCCTGAAGCTGACAAAGCAGAGAGGGATCCATCTCTACAGGTTTTGGAGCGAGCATGGCTCTGCCAAACACCTTGATTTTGGACTTCCAGCCTCCAGAACAGAACTTCAAAACCTTCATCTGTATTAAGCTGCCGGTTTTGGAGTACTCGGTTACAGCAGTCCTAGCAAACTACTTGTGCTATGACCATTAAGATTTCTCTCACACAGCTGCTCAATGGCCTGCCCTTTCTTCCAGCCCTGGGTTAGGGCTGTTTGTGTGCTTTGACTGTAATCTTCCCCCATGTTCTTCCTTCCCACCCAACGAATGCCACCCTTTTCATATATGCACTGCCTTGGTTTCCAGCAAGGATACGGATGATTTCCCCCCCGATCTTGTCATACCTTTGTTCATTTCAGTTAGGAGCTAAACACTTGTGTTCAAGTCTTTGAAGAGAAGATGTTAATAGCTTAGTTGTCCTTTCTGAGATGTGACTAGAAGACAGTATGGCTGTGCTAGAACTCTTGAACCAAGAGGTGTTGCTGCCAACTCACCCTTTATTACAAGAATAATTAATTTGGGATCCAAACTTGATGTCTTTGATCACATGCACCATGCCATTCACAGGTTCTGGAGGATTACGACATGATCTACCTACAAGAAGAAACAGAATTTTGGAGCCAAGCACAGTAAACTGACTATTTTTTTAGTATATAAAGTCTCAACCTGCCTGTAGCTTATTGATGAATACACACAGTTCTGATGGTTCCGTAGATTTTGCCACCTTGAGGAAACTCACCAGACTGCCTTCAGGATCAGCTCCCTTTAAAAAAAAACTTCCCTTCAGATCTGTTTCATCCCCATATTATGCCTCCCAGAAAAATGTAAATTTTATTTGTTACCATTTGCAATTCAATTCAACTGGTATAATCCAAAGATCTCAAAACCCAAGGTTGTCTCATCTTTTGGTTATTTAATCCACTTCTCTTTCTTGTCCCAAGTCATTCATTACTTAATTTTAGTCATGAAAATGGGAGAACCCCAGTGGATGGGGATTTTCCCTTTGATCATATCCTTCGATGGCTGTTTCTCATGAAATAAACTTGTAATGAAGGTGCCAGGAACTCAAAGCAGTAACAAGGTGTGATCTACAACAATTATTTTCATATGTATTGCACCTTGGTAAACTAATTGTCATATGTAACTCAGTTACAAAATTTGAACAAACTGAATCAGATCTTACAGATGTGTGACTAACAGAGGGGTTCCCACTCCAGAGTTACTTACGTCTGCACTTGTCGTTAGCACTTGTCCAGCCTGACTTTTTTAGGCAGACGATAGAAAACGGTCTTCCATAATAACCAGGGAGGCATTTGTAGTTTAAATATGTCCCAATGGGAAACGGAGCCTCAACAGTTAGGTTGATAGGCTTGGCAAATGGAAACTTGTCAGGGTCATTGCATTGACCTGGAGATCAAGACCACAGCAGCATCGAAGTTAGTGGAGAAATCATCATACTTTTTTTCTTTTTTGAGATGGAGGCTGGTTCTATCACCTAGGCTGGAGTGCAGTGATGTGATCTTGGATCACTGAAACCTCCACCTGCTGGGTTCAAGCAATTCTCCCTGCCTCAGCTTCCCGAGTAGGTGGGATTACAGGTGCCCACCACCACACCTGGCTAATTTTTGTATTTTTAGTAGAAACAGGGTTTTACCATGTTGGCCAGGCTTGTCTTAACTCCTGACCTCAGGTGATTCCTGAGGTCAGAGCCTCCCAAAGTGTTGGAGTGAGCCACAATTCTCTGTCAAAATTCCCATTCTGTTTCTTCTTTTTCTCCAATATACTTCATAGATGTGATCAAAAAAGAAAAAGAACACTTCAGTAATAGCCAGTGGGGCTGGGCCTGGTGGCTCATGCTTGTAATTCCAGCACTTGGGAGGCCAAGGTAGGTGAATCACTTGAGGTCAGGAGTTAAAGCCCACCTGATCAACATGGTGAAACCCTATCTCTACTAAAAATACAACAAATTAGCAGAGCATGATTGTGCGTGCCTGTTGTCCCAGCTACTTGAAAGGCTGAGGCAGGAGAATCGCTTGAACCCAGGGGGCAGAGGTTGCAGTGAGCCAAAATTGTGCCACTGTACTCCAGTCTGGGTGACAGAGCAAGACTCCATCTTAGCAATAATAATAATAGCAAAGAGATTGATTTCTTTAGAACAGTGGTCCCCAACCTTTTTGGCACTTGGGACTCGTTTTGTGGAAGACAATTTTTCCATGAATGGAGGGTGCAGGGAAATGGATTTCAAACTGTTATACTCAGATCATTAGGCATTAGATTCTCATAGGGAGCACGCAACCTAGATCCCTCTTATGCACAGTTCACAGTATGGTTTGCACTCCTATAAGAATCGAACACTGCCGCTGATCTGACAGGAGGTGGAGCTCAGGCAGTAATGTTTGGCCACTCACCTCATACCCTGCTGCCCAGTTCCTAACAGGTCACAGGCCACTACTGGTCCATGGCCCAGGGGTTGAGGACCCCTGCTTTAAAAGGTACCTTACAAATGGGTTCTTTTAAAAAAATACCAGCATCCCTCCATTTAAAAAGTCTCTGCTAGTTTGAAGGCAACTAAGCCATTTATATCATCTTTCACTAAAGGGGTAGCAGCAATTTCACAGCTTCAAATTTTAATTAATCAGTAAGTACTTGTGCTGTGGATTTGACTCTCCCATCCTCATTTCTCATACTTTCTTGTAACAAGAGGCACTCATGCATTTTACCATCCACCCTCACGCTCAGTGGGCACTCAGATCCAGTGGGACTACACGCCTCCTCTTTGGCCCTCAGCAGCAGTCACCAGTGTTGGAAATCTGTTGCCAAGTCAGTCCTCAGCACAAAGAGTGAACAAACAAAGCTCAACAATTAAAGCTATACTTTACCATAAAGAAGCATGTATTTTCTCAAAGACATTTCAAATTAAATACTAGATTCAGGTAGGCCACTTACAGCCTTGTAGATTTAACTTAAAGCAACAAAAATAGCATTTAGAGTCAAACAGTATGTAATCAAGAAGATACATCTGTTGAAAAAAATAGCATTTTACTTTAATTTTGGAAATCTCTTCTTTGTTTGTTTTGTTTTGTTGTTACTTCTGTTCTTTCCAAAATCTTCTGCTCATTAATTCAAATTATGAAGAGTAGATTGAGGCCAGAGATCAATTTTATTAGACTTAAAAGAACCAACCTTTGGTTTTATTTTGCTCTTATTTTTACTTGATTGTTACTGCTGTTTTCTTTAAATTTACTTGCTGTTCAGTCCTTTAAAAAATAATTTCTTAAGATGATTACTGAGATTTAAGCAATTTTTCGTCTTGTCATTGTTCTAAAATAAGCATCAGATTATTATTTTTATTCTAAGCATAGATTTAGCTGCATGTTATAAGTTTTAATGTGTTGTATTTTCTTTTTTTAGTTTAAAATATTTGATAGTTTCTATTGTGATTTTTTTCATTGACTCATGGTTTATTTAGAAGTGTTTTTCATAATTTACAAACCTTTGAGGAATTTCGGCTGTATATTTATTATCCATTTTTGTTTTGAAATTGAGCATGGCTTGTTTTACAGCACAGCATGTGGCCAACTGTAGTAACAGTAGCATGTGCACTTGTAAAATATGTGTGTACCGCAGTAGTAGTATAGTGCTGTGGGTATGTCAGTGTATTAGTCAATTCTTGCACTGCTATAAAGAACTACTGGAGACTGGATACTTTATAAAGAAAAGCGATTTAATTGACTCACAGTTCTGAAGGCCATACAGAAAGCATGACTAGGGAGGCCTCAGGAAACTTACAGTCATGGGAATGTGAAGGGGAAACAAGCATGGTCTTAACATGGCCAAAGCAGAGGAGAAGAGTGAAGGGGAAGGTGCTACATACTTTTAAACAACCAGATCTGGTGGGAACTCTATCACCAGATGGCACAAGGTGGGTGGTGCAAAAATATTGGAAGCCACGCCCTTGATCCAGGCCCCTCCTGGGAGGCCCTGCCTCAAACACTGAGGATTATAATTCAACATCAGATTTGGGTGGGGACAGAAAGCCAAACATATCTGTCAGTGAATCCAATCAGTTTGTATTTATTCAGATCTTCTAGATATTTACTGCTTTTGGGGGGACTACTTGTTTTACCAGATACTAGGTGAGTTGTGTTAAAATATTTTATTCATTGTGCATTTGTCTATTTCTTTTTATAATGTTGTCCATCTTTTACTTTATGTATTTTGAGGTTGTTGGGATTATAAAACTTTAAATTGCTATATTTTATAGTAGAGCAACCTTCTTTTTCATAATAGAATATATCTATTTCTAGAAATGAATCTTGCCTAAAACTTTACTTTGTTTGCTTTATTTGTGGGACAAATAAAAAAGCAATAATAAGATGGGAGATTCAATCTCCAATATATAAACGCTGATTTTAAATGTGCAGTAGTCACCCCCTTATCTGTGGGGGACATGTCCCAAGACATTAGTGGATACCTGAAACCTCAGACAGTACCAAACCTGATAACTATCAATTAGAACACATTTCTGTTCACATCTTCCGCCCACAAATTTAATGCCTTTCCCCTCTTAACTAAGCATTTAGCATGCACTGTGGTTGTAACTTTTGCAGTTTGAAGTGTGACGGCAAAACTAGCACAAATTTCTTTTTCCTTCTTCACAATTTCATTGACAGAAGATTCCTTCTTACCTTAGATCTTAGCAACTTCAATATACAATTTTTTTTTCTTTATTAAGTGGACAACTTTCACCTTTTCTCTTAAAGGAAGCACTTGCTACTCAACGGGACCTTAATGGTAATGAACTCCCTCACTAGGCTCGGCTAAAACTTTGAGACTCTATGTGGAAACGTGTGGGAGGCTGAGTAATAACTTCTCAAAGATATCCATGTTCTGAACCCTGAAGCCCATGAATGTTGCCTCTAAGGGTAAAATGGCTTTGCAGATGTGATTAAGAATCTTGAGATGGGCAGATTATCTTGGGTTATCTAGGTGGGCCTTAAATGTAATCACAAGGGTCCTTATAAAAGGGAGGCAAGAGGGTTAAAGCAGACAGAAGAAGAAGATTTGAAAATGTTATGCTGTTGGCCTGGAAGGTAGAGGAAGGAGGTCATGAGCCAAAGGATGGAGGCAGCCCCTGGAAGCTGGAAAGAAAAAGAAAACCCCTGCTCCCCTGGAACCTCCAGAAGGAACACAGTCCTATGGATCTATTTTAGGTCTTGGCCTCCAGAACTGTAAGAGAATACATTTTTGTTGTCTTAAGTCACTCAGTTTGTGGAAATTTGTTACAGCAGCAATAGAAAACTAATACAAAAAGAGAATGATATACAGTGTTAAAAATGTTGGGTTCCAAATGCCCAACAATGATAGACTGGATAGGGAAAATGTGGTACATATACACCATGGAATATTATGCAGCCATCAAAAACGATGAGTTCGTGTCCTTTGTAGGGACAAGGATGAACCTGGAAACCATCATTCTCAGCAAACTGACACAAGAGCAGAAAATCAAACACTGCATGTTCTCACTCATAGACGGGTGATGAACAATGAAAACACATGGACACAGGGAGGGGAGCACTACACACAGGGGTCCGTTGGGGGGAAATGAGGGAGGGATGGGGGGTGGGGAGGTGGAAAGAGATAGCATGGGGAGAAATGACAGATACAGGCGAGGGGACGGAAGGCAGAAAACCACACTGCCATGTGTGTACCTATGCAACAATCTTGCATGTTCTTCACATGTACCCCAAAACCTAAAATGCAATAAAAAAAATTTTAAAAAATGTTGGGTTCATGGATGCCTGGCCTTGAACCCAATGTTGACTACTTAGTGGCTATGAGATCTTATGCAACCTGCTTAATTTTGCTGAGCCTCCGTTTCATCTTCACAAAGGAAATGATAATATTTTTCTAGCAGATTTGCAGGGAAGGTCAAAGATAGTATATGCTCTCATATACACAGAAGGCACTTCATAAATTGTAGTTATGATTATTACTTTTAGAAAAGAAGGGGAATGCTAAGAGTTAAATTCAATTATTCTGCTAAAGTGGGTGTGCTTGCTTTGCTTCCAAGAGTTTATTTTCTGCTCATTTGCAGAGCTACTTCAGAATGAGCCTATTTTGTGGGAATGCACTGGATGACCTCAGTGACTGGTGACCTCATAGCTCTCTGAAGGGAATGTGCCCCCGATTCAGCCTAGCACTTGCTGTCTGCATCTCGTGAGCTCCATCATAGTGCCCACGGGACCCCTGACAGAGGTTTCCTAAGGTTGCCTTTTCCCTGTTGACAATGGCTTTTGTCAGAATTGGAAGCCTACTCTGTGCTTTCTACTGAAGCAAAGGATGATGCTCCGAGAAAGCTCCTATTTCTTACTTATTTTTCCCTCAGACAGCCTGTATCTGTCATT